CCCAGTCTTCTTCATCTTACCTCTCTGATAGAACACAAAGAGTTATTGTTAATAATTGTTCTTCCAACATCATTAAAGTTTCTTCAGGGGTTCCTCAGGGAAGCCACCTTGGTCCGATTCTGTTCCTGATATTCATTAATGATATTTCTTCTATAATAAAACATTCAAAAATTTTAATGTATGCCGATGATGTGAAACTTTTTAAAACATTGTCCTCTATCGAAGAAAGGTCTTTGTTACAAGCGGATCTGAACAACGTGGTTAGTTGGTGTAATACAAACTATATGCCACTAAACCTTCAAAAATGTAAAGTTATGTGTTTCTCTCGGAGGGCTGTTCAACCAGCTGTTTATTCAATATCAAATTATAATCTGGAGCAGGTGTCCAATTTTGTCGATCTCGGTATCACAATGGATTCCAAACTCAATTTCAACCATCATATTAATGTCACAGTCAATAAAGCCAAAGGCGTTTTTGCATTTGTAAGGCGATGGTCAAAAGAGTTCAAAGATCCTTATGTTACAAAAGCTCTTTTTACCAGTTTAGTTAGACCTATACTAGAATACGGATCTATTGTTTGGAATCCCCGCTACCAAGTTCGTTCAGAAAGGATTGAATCAATTCAAAAACAATTCTTGCTTTTTGCATTGCGTAATTTTAACTGGGATTCAGATTACAATCTCCCCCCTTACACAAGTCGTCTAAAGCTCATAAATTTGCCTATACTCGCAATCCGTAGAGAAATGCTAGGTATAATATTTATCGTAAAATTAATGGCAGGCTTGATTAATAGCCCGGCCCTCCTGGCTGAGGTAAATTTTAATGTTCCTTCTCGAGTGTCAAGGCACTTTCGACCTCTATTTTTAAAGCCATGCAAAACTAATTTTGAACTAAACGAATCATTCCGTGGTTTATGTCAGGATTTTAACTGTCATTTCAGCACGTTTGACGTATCGGACTCGATTTTTACTATAAAGAAAACTATTATTTCCACTCTCAATAATTGAAATACTATCTTTAGCATATCCAATCAGCTGATGAATTTGATTCTGTAGCTGAATAGTTTTAGATCTCGACACTTAACAAACTCCTGTTTCCACTACTCGACACCACAAAAAACTAAAAAAAAAAAAAAAGGTTCCGTACGTCAGGCGGACTGCGCCCCTCGTGTCGATTGGGCGGGAATGGAGGGTAAAAAGCCGTTGGGATTAATTAATTAATTAAAGATTTGAGATTAGGACTGATTCTCAAATTCATCTCAAATTGAGATTTAACAAAAAAGTTTATTGGGATATGTGAAAAACAAAGTAATGCATACATGCACAGTTTCGGTTGAAAACCGAAATAATGCGTATGAAAAACCCGAAGTAATGCATACATGAAAAGTTTCGATTGAAAACCGAAATAATGCATATGAGAAAATACCGAAATTATGCATATGCATACTTTCGTTTTAAAAGCGAAATAATTCAAAACCAAGTAATGCATACATGCACAGTTTCGGTTGAAAACCGAAATAATGCATATGGGCATTCCCATGGTGGCGCACGTGACAGTCGTACGATTTCAATGTGATACAAAAAAGGAATACCATTTGTTTTCTTTAACTTTTTTAGGCCATTGTATAGTACATAATTAGCTCTATATTTAACCCAAAAATGAAGTCAATCGAACTGCTTGGTCCTGAAATATAAGCATTTAAAGAGAGTGTCGTTACGTGACAAAAAATGGAAGTTGATTTTTTCTTTTCTTACAAAATCGCAAAACTCTGCGAATTGTGGATGGCTATTTTCATGAAACTTATTTTAATATGATTTGGAGCAATTCTAGTTGTTTTTAGAGTTTTTTGAATTAATGCAAATTGTTTCAATTATATTTTACAACGCCAAGTGTGAAACGTGACGTGACGTGGCGTCACGTGACATAAATTTCTATCGTTATATTTTTGTTAATATTGCTTTTAAATGAATTTTTAACGCAAATAAAACTTGTATTTTATGTAGAATATACTTTATATTTTGACTTCAGCGCCAATTCAGGGTCAATTTATTAAAAATCTATGATTTATTATGTTTCAAACACATACGCCAAATTCGAACCAAATCGGACCATAAATACGGTTTTTCGAAATATCTCGACCTTGGCACCACCTAGGAAGACCATTTTATGCAAACATGATTCTACTTACATAGCCAGTATATACTTTAAAAAGCA